AGATTCAGGCTGGACATGAGGAAGTATTACTTGTCAGAAAGGGTGGTCAGGCACTGCAATGGATGCCCAGGGAGGTGGGGGAGGCACCGACCCTGGGGGTGTTCAAGGAAAGGCTGGATGTTGTGTTGAGGGCCGTGGTTCAGTGGGAGCTGTTGGGAATGGGGGAACGGTTGGACTGGGGGAGCTGTGAGGTCTTTTCCAACCTTGGTGATTCTATGATTTTAAGAACATTTCTATGCACAAAAGCTTGGAAAATGGATAATGTTGTGCAAGTCATCATCAAAGCTGTGAATTTCATAATGTCAAGGGACCAAATCTTGGCCAGTTCCAGGAGTTCCTTAAAAGTACAGGTGTTGATGATGGGGTGATCATTTGCTTTTCTGAAGTCAGGTGGGTCATTCATGATGAAGTGCTAAAAAGAAGTCATCATTTACAAAATGACATCAAGTTGTTGATGGGATCAAAATGAAAACTGGTCCCGAAACTTGAAGATGAAAATTGCTCACAGAGATAGCACTTCTGGTGGATTGGACTGCTTGTTTGAATGAGTTAAACACACATCCTCAAGATGAAAATCAACTTATTGGGGCTGTGTTTCAGACCGTAACAGTGTTCAAAATGAAACTTAAATTATGGCAAGCTGAAGGCATGGCAAATAATTTTATGCACGTTGAGACATTGGATAAACACAGTCATCATAGAATGACAGAATGGCCTGGGTTGCAAAGGAACTCAGTGCTCATCCAGCTCCAAGCCCTGCTGTGTGCAGGTCGCCAACCAGCAGCCCAGGCTGCCCAGAGCCACATCCAGCCTGGCCTTGAATGCCTGCAGGGATGGGGCATCCAGTCCTGTAAACAGTAAAAAATAAGCAGCCTTGCTTTATGTTTTGATAAACGAATTTGAGAATGGGTTTCAATATCACTGAAAAAGTCATCAATTTTTGATATGTTTGTGACTCCGGCTTCAATAGATGACCCGTGAATTTTCAAATGGAATGCACAGATGCAGTTGGACAATCTGCACCAGGAAAACGTGGATCACATCTCTACCAGACTTCCAAAAGACCTGTCCTACCAGGGAAGAATATCCCCCTCAACGCGGCCCAGCCAAGCCAATAGCTGGACACCCACAGGGTATATAACACAGGAGGAGGCAAGGAGCTTTCTGGGCCTGGACACAGAACACTGAGTTGACTTTGCTCCCATATCCCTTCCCTAGGACACAGGAGGAGTGCACCATGCTGGATTTGAGAAGATGCTTTTCTGTTCTGTTCTTTCTTGGAAGATTTGCATTATTTCCTAGCTGTTGCTCTTGTTTGTCTTCTTTAATTGCACACCTGCTGGGGAAAATGATGTGCAGAGCTGCTAGAAAACACACCGCTCTGCCACAGCTCCTCCTGTGCCCATCCTCCTATTGAGTAAATGTCAGATACTCCATGCTGAGGCACACTAATTGCCTTGAAATAAACGACATCAAGAACAAGAGTCCGTTAGGGATCCATTCTGTCCATCTCTTCATGCAGCCCTGAGAACAGGCGCGGAATGAGATGGAATCAGAAATGCCAGCTACCAGTGTGACTCAAACTGGGAAATTCTCATGATGGTTTTGAAGCCATTCACGTCAGTCATCTTTCTTAAGATGTGACAGCTTGTGCTTTTTTTGGGTGATGCTGTGTGGAGCCAGGAGCTGGACTCGATGATCCTTATGGGTCCCTTCCAACTCAGGATATTCTGTGATTCTATGATCCTACTTGGTGGGAGACATTATATTCTTTTTCCTGACGTATTCCCAGATGCTTTTTTGTCCTATAGTGCTTAAACCTTGTGCTTTTATTTCTTTAGAAGGGACTCTTCCTACAGAAAATCCTGGCACAAAAGACAGCACAAGTTACAAAAGTCAAAGAACTCTGTTTGTGTGAGTGGTACAACATCTCTCTCCAGGAAGACGTCATACCATGATGCACCATCAAATGTGAGTGGGAACCAGCACCTTTAATGTAGGTGTCCCACAAACGCTGGGTGTCTACAGCTTGGTCTTTGGTGGAGATAACAGCTATCTGACTGACAAAGGTAGCAGTCCCGCTACGCTGATTGTCAGAGGGGAGATATGTTCCTGTTCCTTTATTTTTCACCCACCCAAAACTTATTTGAGTAATTTCTTAGATCCCTATCCCTTGTTGGTATTGCTGCCTCGCTTTTTGGAGCGCGTCAAGATTTTTTTAGCTATGCTTCTGTATTTTGTACGGTGAAGAAGGAGGTTGAAGGTCTGACTCATCCATTGCACAGGATTCCTAGCAACGAGGCCCTTTTAATTCTACCTTATTTTTAATTCATCTCAGGGTAAGAAAAGAGGAACGTCATACTTTATATCTCCTTATGTGTCTGTCTGACAAGTGTTCATAGGATCATAGAACAGCTTGGGTTGGAAGGGAGCCCAAAAATCTCCATTTCCAACCCCCTGCTGCAGGCTGGGATGCCAACCACTAAACCAGGCACCAGATCAGGTTGTCCAGGGCCCCATCCAACCTGGCTTTGAGCCCCTCCAGGAATGGAGCACCCACACCTCTCTGGGCACCCTGTGCCAGCACTTCACCACTCTCTCAGTGAGAATGTTCCCCCTGACATCCAAATCTCCCATCTTTTATTTTGGAACTGCTCTCCCTTGCCCTGTTACTATCTGCTCATGAAAAAAAAGTTGATTTCCCCCCTTTCCGCATCCTTATCTCTAAATTGGTGAGATATGTATTCAAGGGCTGGAGAATTCAGTGGATAAGGAATGGGTTGGATGGCCGCAACCAGAGGTTTGTGGTCACTGGCTCTATGTCCAGGTGGAGGTCAGTGATGAATGCTGTCCCCCAGGGATCCATCTTGAGACCAACGTCCTTCAGCATCTTTATCAATGACGTAGATGATGGAAATTTGCTGATGACGCCAAGCTGAGTGGTGCAGTTGACAGAAGAGAAGGATAGGATGACATCTAGAGGACCTGGACACACTCGAAAAATGGGCACACAAGCATCTAATGAGGTTCAACAAGGCCAAGTGCAAGGCGTTGGGTCAGGACAATCCCAGATACATGTACAGACCAGGAGAAGGACTTGGGGAATCTGGTTGATGAAAAACTTATTTTGTAACTGAAAGTCTGTACTTATCTTTAGATGGGATGCTCCTCCTGAGCACTGGACCTTCAGGAGCCTCTGATCAGACTGCCTTGATAAGCTCCAAAAGGAAAAGGATGCCTGCACCTGGGTGAGTTTTGGACAGATTCACTTACCAGTGCTTTGACACTCAGATCTGGAGGCACCCAAGGCTGGACGGGCTCTGAGCACTGATGGAGCTGTGGGTGCCCCTGTTCATTGAGAGTGGAATGGCTTTTAGAGGTCCCTCCCAACTCAAGCCATTCTGTGGTCCTATGATTCAATCTCTGTGTCTTTGCTCACCATTCAGCATTGCTGTTCACTCCAGTTCCCCCTCATATGATATTAATTAGAACACCAACAGAACTCCTTTCACTCAAACTCCTCATTCAGGTGCTTGCCAGCCACTATATTCAATAAATTTCCAGAGACTCTGCCCATTCTTTGTCATTTTTTTGGAAAGCTTTTGCAAACCAACCATTATGACGAGTCCTTGGGCTGGGTTCCTGCTGGTGCTGGAGGTTTTGGCTGTGGACAGCTGTAACTACGAGACATTTTGTTATGAACAAGCAGTGTCTGAAAGAATCTTTTATGGTGCTTTGAGGGAAAAAAAAAAAGAACTCTGACAGTCAGGATACTTGGGCTTTGCACCTGGGAGCACTGAAAGATTCTTGGACAAAACACATAACCTCTCTGTGGCTCATCATCATTTTGAAATGGGGCTCAAACACATCGACTTCTTGGAAGAGGAACTTGGGTTTAACTTACATTTGTCAGAGGGCACTGCGAATCCAATGCGAAAGAGCATGATCAGATCTTCTCATGGAATACTCCCAAAGTATGTTCAGATCCAATTAGCATCGATGCGCCCTGCCTTAAGCAAGTGCAAATGGAGATGTCTGAAATCCGAGACAGTTGCACTTGATTCATTATCTGAGCACTGAGGAAAAACAGACCCCATGGGCGAATACGAAAGGAGGTGACCTGGAAAGGGTCACAGAAGTGCTCCTGGAAACACTTCAAAAATCTCCAGTTAGGGAAGAGGAATCCCAGAGACCTTCAACATCTGTCAGTTTGCTGCGTTATGGTGAGATTGTTTTTCCCGTTTGTTTTTCTTTCATATTAATTCTGTGTGCTTCACCTGTGAACGATCATTACCATCGGGGCAAGGAGATGAGGTATGTTGTAGTCTTTAGCCCCTTGTTCAAGTCTGTGGGCTGTCCTGTAGTGACTGCTGCTCCAGGAGGGCACCCAGCTCTGCTTCAGTGGATGAAGAGATGCGGGAAGGATCCCTCAGCTCCCATGTCAGCCAGTCCTTGCTCTTTCCAAGGCCAGCCAGTGTAGCATTCAGTGGATTAATGATGCCTCTTCCAAGTGTTCCTAGTCTGCCTTTCTTATTAAAAACTAAAAAGAGCGAGAAGGAAAGACAGAGAGGATAAATGCATAAACACCAGGACCTTGGGCACCCGAAGGGAGATCACTCCTCAGTGCAAGTGTTGTCATCTCTGCTTTCAAACCCTCTGAGACAACCTCCCTCCTCCTCCCTTTCAGCTCTGGGTACCAATAAACGACCACGTTGAAGTTACGGCTCGCTTGTACCCGAATCTCATCGCACCGCCCCTGCTTGCGGCGCTGGGCTGATATCACCCTGCTAGGACCTGAGGGAGGGGCGGGGCCAGCAGACCGGAAGGCGGGGTCCACAAATCGGAAGGCGGGGCCATCAGAGAGGAGGGGCGGGGCCAGCAGACCGGAAGACGGAGTCCACAGACCGGAAGGCGGGGCAAGCTCAGCTTCCGTGAAGTGCCGCCGCCATCTTTTTGTCCCCGCGCGGCTCCCGTCGCGCCCCGTTCGTTGCTATGGCGGCGGCGCGGTGGCCTTGGCACTGAGGTGCGCGGGAACTCTGTGGGGCCCTTCCCGCCCCCTGGCCCGCCCCATTCCGGCCGCCATGGAGGACGAGCTGTACCTCGAAAACATCGATGAGTTCGTCACCGACCAGAACCGCATTGTGAGTGCCGGCGGAGCGGGGAGACCGAACCGGGGTTGTCGAGGAGGAGAAAGCCACAGCGGGGCTTCCCCGCCCTTCCTTTCCTCCCTTCAGCAGCACTGCACGAGGGAGCGGTGTCTGTGTGTCCCTCAGGGGGTGGGTTTGGGCCCCAAACCCCGCTGGCTGTGGGGGCTGCAGGGCCAGGCCTGTGCCAGCCCCTGAAGGGCCCCCCTCTTTTATCGCTACGAGCAGCTCCAACCCAGCTCGTTTCAGAAAGCACCAACCCTGCGAGCAGCTGCGTCCCGTTGGCGGTTGGGAGGTGAGGCGGGGGTTCTGTGCTCACCTGCACTCTTGGACACGCATGGGCGGCCTTTGGGCAGGGACAGGAACTGTGAGGGCCTCCCCTTCCCCCCCTGTCCCGATGCTGCTGAATCAGAGCTGCTCACCCACAGACTGAACGTTGCCTCTTCGTGTGGCTGTGGGGTGTGAAGGTGGGGCTGATGGCTGATCCCATCTTTCCCAGCGCGGAGTTGATGAGGGCTTATCGCTCAAACTGGATCAAAAATGCCTTTTTTTTGGGGGGGTGGGGTCAGGATTTTCCTCCGTTGTGTTCTGTGTTTGATTTAGTGCCTCTGAAGAGGATGGATGTTGGTGTTGTTTATACTACAGAACGGTTTGGGTTGGAAGGGACCTTAAAGCCTCTCACAGCCCCACCCCCCTCCATGGGCAGTGACACCTCCCACAGCCCAGGTACCCACAGCCCCATCATGGCCTTGGGCACTGCCAGAAATGGCCACCCCAGTCCTTTGGGCAGCAGTGCCAGAGCCTCAGCACTCTCTTAGGGAAAAATTCTTCTTGACATTTAATTTAAAACCATGCCCCTTTGTCCTATCGCTGTCAGCCCGTGCCAGAATTCAGTCCCCCTTGTGCTTATAAGCTCCTCTCAAATACCAGAAGGTTGTAATGAGGGGTCTCCCCTCAGTCTTCTCTGGGCTGAACATCCCCATCTCCCTCAGCCTGTCTTCATAGGACGGGTACTGTATCCTCACGGCCCTCATCTGCACCCACTCCAAAAGCTCCATGTCTTTCCTGAGGTGGGGGCAAAGCATCTCTCCCTGAATTCCTTTTGCTCCCTAATAGATGAGCCCACAGTGTAGGGACAGCAGTATTTTATTTTACCCAAGGCATAAAATTCAGATGTGAACGAAGCAGTATTTTTTCCTTGAAATATTGAGGCAATCACAGAATGGTTTGAATTGGAAAGGACCATTAAAAACCATCCAGTCCCACTGTCTGGTGTGGGGACTCCCACAGTTCCATCAGGTGCTCAGAGCCCTGTCCAGCCTGACCTCAAATGGGGCATCCTCACCTCTCTGTGCAACCCATGCCAGTGCTTCACCACCCTTATTGTAAAAAATCGTTCATCTTGCATCCACTTTCTCTTCTTTTAGTTTGAAACCGTTTCCCCTTGTCCTATCACACCAGATCCTGCTAATGAGTCTGTCCCCTTCTTTCTTACAGCCCCTTTAGAAATTGGAAGGCTGCTCTCAGCTCTCTCCAGAGCCTTCTCTTCCCCAGGCTGTGCCGTCCCAGCCCTCTCAGCCTGTACTCCTGACCACTATTCGGGCTTCTGCTTGATCAGAGAAAAGTGAAATTACTATCAGTAGCATCTTGAAGCCCTGTTACTTTTGTGAAGATTGGGATGCACAGTAACCATGTGCCTGTTTTTTCCTTCTGTGCAAAATCTTTGTTTTGAAACTGAACCGGTGAAATCATTGCAGCTCTTGGGCCACGAGAGGAGTCGTATTAACATGAACTGCCTGTGTCATTATCATTTATTTCCATAAGCTGCTAGATTAATGACAATTTAATCGTTGTGTTTGAAGCAGGAGAGAGACCTTAGCCTGAGGTGTTAAAAAAGGCAGAGTGGGAGGGGAAGCAGGTTTGGGGATGTGGCTCATCTTAATGGTGCAGTTACGTGCCTGTCATCTCCTGAGATCTGGCACACAGTGCTGTCAGGCTGCAGATGCAGCCAGGGATCCACCTGTTCCTTCGGACAGCATCATCTGATCAGTCCTCAGTCAATGGGAGGGCGATGGCTGCTTCTCACAGCCAGGCATTGTGCTGTTCCTGATGTGAAGTTGAGCGCTGTGGGCGTTATAGAATCACTCAGGTTGGAAATGACTTCTCAGATCCTCAAGCCCAGTTGAGGGGGTTTAGAATGGCTTCAGTTACGTAGTAGCATTTCCAAAAGGCATTCATGCAAACACACCTTTTGGGGTCAGAAATTTGTCCATATCTTGGGAATTGAATCCCTTCGGTGTGGCACAGTGTTGAAGGTGTGGGGGTGACAATGCACTCTTACTTCTGCCAGGTTTTCCTGTGTTGTTTCTTTCTGGGGGAAGGGGGCCATAAAGTGTTTGACTTCCCCACGAGAGAATGTGTGGTTTAACAGCCTGAGGTTTTCTTAAACTTCCTGATTTTTAATCTTTTGCAGGTGACATACAAATGGCTGAGCTATACTTTAGGAGTCCACGTCAACCAGGCTAAACAGTGAGTATCAACACAGCCTGCACGCCTCTGCTTTTGTGGCAGAGGATTGTTAATTGCTGTTTTCAGGTTGTGGTTAACATACTAAAATGCTCCCTCTGGGCACATGTGAAAATTCAGCATGCTGTCTCAGGTGCAGTTGGTTATGTTATTGAACACACCTTCACCCAGAGGGTGGTGAGGCACTGGCACAGGTTGCCCAAGGAGGCTGTGGATGCCCCATCCCTGCAGGCATTCAAGGCCAGGCTGGATGTGGCTCTGGGCAGCCTGGGCTGCTGCTTGGCGACCTGCACACAGCAGGGCTTGGAGCTGGATGAGCACTGTGCTCCTTTGCAATCCAGGCCATGCTATGGTTCACTGCTCCTCCCTTAGGCAAGTCTTGCCTTGACTTGGATGGGAGTCATGCTTTCAATTAAGCAGCTCTTAGTGCTCTGTTATGAACCTGAATACTTGGGCCAGGACAGATGTTTTAGCACTGTTATTACTCCAGGAATGTGTGTGGCTCCTTTCATCCTGAAGCACAAAACTGAGTGTTGTCTGCATTTGCTGCCAGCCCCAAGAACAGAGCTGTGCCTCTGTGAGCCTGCATTGCACATCCCAGGTCAGGATACATCCGTGGGTATTGCTGGGAGCAGAGTCAGGAAAAAGGCAAAAAGCTCTGATGGTAACTGCAGCTCTCATGTGCACCTAATGCTCATCCACTCTGTTTGCCCTGCAGCACAGCACACACATTGTGTTGAATACCTGCTTATCTGGCTCCTTGAGATGATGGTTATGAGTATCCTCTCAAGGATTCTGAGGTTGTTTATACACAGCAAGGTCAAGTTAAGCATAAGATTATGCAAGCATGTCTAGTCCCATATTGTAAATACTTTCTGTCCTTGTTCCCAGCTGTCGTTGGGACCTGAAGACACATTTGCTGTGTACTGAGCCCATCTTCACCTGTCCTGTCCAAAGTACTCGAATAGCAGCGTGGGCATCTAATGTGCTGACTTGATCTCTTTGCTCTGTGAACATTTGAGCAATTAAATGATGAAAAGTGTTTCAGTGATGGTGTAGACCTGACTGGAGAGCTTTGCTGGGAACACTTCTGCTCGTGCAGTAAACTAGAAAGAGCCAGAGAACTTAGTGCTGTGGAGGAGGTGGCCCAGGTGCTGTGGAAACACCTTCTCCTTCCTTTGAGAGCAATGTGGAGGTGGAGAACTGACAACTTTGTGCTTAAAGCTCTCCAAGGATCTTGAAAAGCACCTGATGGCCAACAGTGAATTGTTTGAGTGAGTTTTGCCAGTGTGGTCATTGCCATCTTCAGGTATCTCTGTCACGGGATGCTCACCATGAATCACTGGGATGCTCACTATGATGGCATGGGCAGAAGCTGCAAACTCAGTTCCTTTCTGTAGTCACAGTTTCCTCATGTTTCTGATCACAGTGTCAGTGGTTGTAGCTGGGGACTGTACATATGCACCTGGCAATGTCCTTGTGTGCAAAACCCCCAGTTCTTTGGTCAGGAGTTTCATCACTCTGGGGTTGTAACAGCATTTCTCAAGGGGAAAACTTCACAACAAAGCAGCCCAAGGATCTGAAACAATCTGCAGCCAGCCATTCAAGCACTGAGAGCTTGAGTTGGTTTCTCCTTTGCTGAATGTTGGGCTGTGAGATCCTTGGAGGCAGAGGAGGAAGGCAGATCAACAGGGTTAAATTAATCCCAGTGTTGATGTAAAAGTGTTTTCACATCAGGCAGGCTTTGCTCTTTTGATGGAAGCTGCACTGTGTGCTCTTTGCTTTCGGGGTGATTGACACTGGTTTCTTTGTGCAGGATGCTGTATGATTATGTGGAGAGGAAACGAAAGGAGAACTCAGGAGCTCAGCTTCACGTCACCTACCTGGTAGCAGGAAACCTCATCCAGAATGGACATACAGTGAGTTTTCTTTCTCCAGGCTTTCTATAATCTGTTTGTTCTCATCTTCCCCTTGTTTTGTAACCTTTGGGTCAGAAGCTCGACTTCTTCTGTTTGTTCCAGCACCAAGCACAAGATGCTGGCTCTTCTGTACCTGTACAGTTATTCAGGGTTAGGGTTATTTCTCAATCTTATCATTACTTTTGGACAGCAAATTTTATTAAAAAGAATATATATATATAGCCTGGAGGGGCCCTTGTGAGAGCAGTTAATGTGTTCACCAGGATCTGCTGTGGAGTAGAAGTGTGTGAAATAGCACTGGAGAGAGCTTGGAATTCACTTCCAGTTGTCTTGTAGTTAATGTATGAAGTGTATTAACTTCTGCATGAATGCATAACTGTGTGTTTCTCTTTACTGCTTGTCAGGGTTTTCAGAAATGCCATCTGAAAGTTCAGACAGGCACCTCAGGGCTTGTTGAAAGAAAAGAAGCAAATTGGTCACCTGCTCCCCTTTGCTCCCAGAAGAGTTGAATGGGCCAAGCTCTGAAGGCCTTTGATACACCACTAAGTGTCTGTGTGTATCTTCTGAATACTCAAATATTTTTGAAACACAAACCCTGGTCTTTGTTTAGAGGCTTTGTCATCCCTATAGCCTGAGTTTAATGGGCTTTCATGGAATCATGGAATGGTTTGGGTTGGAAGGAGCTTCTAAGATCACCTGTTTCCAACCCCCTGCTGCAGGCAGGGATGCCTCCCTCTCAACCAGGTTGCTCACAGTCCCATCCATTTCTTTGGCTTCTTTTGGAAATAATAAGGCAGCAGTTCTTGGCTCCCTAGAATCAGCAAGAATTTTATCCACACATCATTTTTAATACATCAGGACAAATTTAAAGGTCATGCAAGTAAGTGAATTCTGGCATAGGGTACGTAGGATATAGATAGATGTGTGTTTAACTCAGTAGTATCTTTAAAACAAGAAAGATCTGCAAAGGGCAGTGCATAAAGATCACTTATTTTCCCCTTCCCTATTTTTTTTTTTTTAAATTATCTTGGGTTTGAGCACTGCCATCCCAGTGGCTGCTGAGAGATGACCTGCAGCCACAGTGGGTCATTGGGACAGAAGTGAATGGCACACAGGAGGTGCTGGGTGCTCCCCAGCCTGAATGCTTAAGGACTGGCCAGAGAAGGCAGGACAGGAGCTCACACCTGGAGATGTGCAGGCATCAGAGCTGCTTGTGGCCAGGATCTGGCACAGCTACTGGGAGGAAATGGATGAGTGCTTCAGGTCCTGCCCCTGCTGGTGAGCCTGCACTCCTGCCTGCTGTCAGTAGGTGTAGCCACGAGGCTGTGGATGCAGTTGCAGGGCTACAGCCACAGATCTGTCACTGATATTTCTCGCTTTCAGCGCTGCACGCTGTTTGCTTACAGCCCCAGTGTGGCACAGAGACTCTCAATCTTTACCTTTTCAGGTTAGTTATGCTTTCTTGCCTCTTGTTCATTTTCTGGATGGTGTGTTGGTATGTGCCAGACACAAAAGTAATGGATGGATTTTGTCCAGCCTGTCTGTTTGGATACTGCCTGTACTAACTGCAGCCTGTTGAATGTCACAGAGCAGGTGTGATACTTGAAGCCTGGAAAGAATACATGCTGTAGGAGTGCATTTCTGGGAGCACTCATTTGTGGCTGTTTAATTAATGCTGAGTTTCTCATTGTGGCTTGCTTCTCTGGTGCCACATCTTTGCTAAATATTGCAACTTTGAGTTTGCAGGCATTGTAGAGATACATGGGCCAGTGCATCAGCTTTGGAGCAGTTGGTCAACAGCTGCATCTCTTTGCTTTTCTCAGCTGTGCTGCATTGTTTTGTTCTCATTTTCTTCTGCATCTCATCTCCTGATGTCAGGAATGGAGGACTGAGCATTTCTTCTGAGCTCTGAAATAGTGTATGAGAAAAATGGGAAGCTGTGGCTTTAGAAATCAGTGGCTGATGACCATTTAAAGGTAGTGGCAGAGTCCTGGGCAGCTGTAAAGCAGCACCTCTAACCTGCAGGCTTTCTCATTCAGTAGAGAAATGAAGATATTGATCTTACATAAAACAAATATTACAAATATTTTCAAATCTTAAGATTGCAATTTGTTTTTGTTGTTTTTTTTTTACAGTGCCACAAGGTTGCAGTAGTGAGAGAGGATAAGCTGGAAGGTAAGTGGATTGTAAGGTGATGAATCATGGAATCATAGAAAGGCCTGGGTTGCAAAGAAGCTCAATGCTTATCCAGCTCCAAGCCCTGCTGTGTGCAGGTCACCAACCAGCAGCCCAGGCTGCCCAGAGCCACATCCAGCCTGACCTTGAATGCCTGCAGGGATGGGGCATCCACAGCCTCCTTGGGCAACCTGTTCCAAAATGCTTTTCTGCTTTGAAAGAACAACAAAGTGAGCAGAGCTCAGCACTTGGCATCTGTGCATGAAGTGCCTGGTCAGGCTGTGTGCAGTTCAGGTGTGTACTTCTTGTACCAGTTTGTTTCTCAGAATTTTGACCATCTGAGCCAACAGCTCGGTAACTTTGCAGCCTTGGGACTGAGGTCTGATTTCCCCGCTGCACATTTTAATCAACAGGGATTCTGTTCTGTCTTTTTGCACGTCTGATCCTGCTAATGAGCTCTGATGACAACAGAAACACAGCTGCAAAGTGATGTTGTCACTTTCAAGTAACGTCTTTGGTGTTTGAGAACAAGCTGTGGTGTTTGTGACCTTTACCATCAGTATGAATGGCCTGACTTGTGTTATTTTTCTTTGAAATGTGAGGTAGATTTCTAGTGAAGTTGTCTTCATCAGGGTATTGTCAAGCAGTGCAGCTACTATCCGTCAGGTCTGCTGAATTATGTGTGCTGTGTGGTGGGAAGAGCAGAGTTGTTCATGTTTTTTGTATTCAAAGCCAGCCAAAGGTCTGACTTACATTTGGAAGAGGCTGAGCTTTGCGATGGGAGCAGGGCTGTTCAGACTAGGACTGGCCCCAAGAAATGATTACTGAGTGTATTTTTGCAGTGCCTCGAAGCTCCGTCTCAAACCAGGGCGGCGTGGAAAGAGCGATAGAAGCAGAGAACAAAGAATTGCTTAAAATAAAAAAGAAAGCAGCTCTGGTCTCAAGGCTGCGGTCTAAATAGAGCCAAAGAGACAAAACGTTGATTTCAGTGGATTAATGGAGCAAACCCTGCAGTGTTAGTTGGTATCTTTAATGGCAGGGAGCAGCTGCAGCAGCATAAGGGTATCACCATCCTTTTCTTGCTGAATTTTAGGTGGACGTGTAGATATTCTGGATCCCAGATGCTGGGTTTTGTGAAGGCAAACGCTGAGATTTGTATGAAGATGTGGAGCTCTTGGAGCGGGCCCAGAGGAGGGCACTGAGATGATCAGAGGGCTGGAGCAGCTCTGCTGTGAGGAAAGGTTGAGGGAACTGGGCTTGTTTGGCTTGGAGAAGAGAAGGCTGCTGGGAGACCTGATGGTGGCCTTCAGTGCTTGAAGGAGTGGATAAACAGGAGGGGAACGGCTGTTTACGAGAGTGGATGGTGATAGGACAATGGGGAATGGCTTTAAACTGAGACTTGGGAGGTTTAGGTTGGGTATTAGGAGGGAGTTTTTGAGCCAGAGGGTGGTGAGGCACTGGCACAGGTTGCCCAAGGAGGCTGTGGATGCCCCATCCCTGCAGGCATTCAAGGCCAGGCTGGATGTGGCTCTGGGCAGCCTGGGCTGCTGCTTGGCGACCTGCACACAGCAGGGCTTGGAGCTGGATGAGCATTGAGCTCCTTTGCAACCCAGGCCATTCTATGAATTCAGGTAGAGCTGTCCCCTGGTTCTTTAATGGCTGTGCTAACAGAGGTCTCTTCTTTCTCCCCACCCAGCAATAAAGTCTAAACTGACCACGGTTACCAGCATCCATGTGTACAGCATTCAGAAAGCCCTGCTCAAAGACAGTGGGCCGCTCTACAACACAGACTACGATATCATCAAAACCAACCTGCACAACTGCAGCAAGTGAGTTGCTCCTTGGTTTTCCTTCTTATGCAGTGTGAGTCGAGACTGATGAAACGTTGTTACCCAGTGCACTTCAGCAGAAGGCAGTGGTTACCAAATATGCCTGGATTTTTAGAAAGCTAGAGAAGAGCCATGCCAAACCAGTCCCCAGACAGCACGTTGATGATTGCTTTATAAACGGAGCTATTTCCAGCTTACAGTTGCTTCACTTACTCTGTTATTCCAGCAGAGTTCCAGTACCTTTCTTGTCAGATGGCTAGAAACATTTTTCTCATTTCCTGGCCACACTTAATCATCCCCGATTTTATCCAGTTCTCTGTCACACAGGAAGGGTAAATTGAAACAGTACAAAAGCACAAGTGATTTGTTCAGCAAAGCAGTAACCTGAGCTTGCCTTCTGTTTTATGGGTCTGTGCCTTTGCTCTTTGGTCTCTTCCACCTCTCTGAAGAGGGCCCAGAGGAGGGCCACTAAGGTGGTCAGAGGGCTGGAGCACCTCTCCTATGAGAAAAGGTTGAGGGAACTGGGCTTGTTGAGATTGGAGAAGAGAAGGCTGCAGGGAGACCTTGTGGCCTTTCACTACACGTGAACAGGAGGGGGAACAGCTGTTTACAAGAGTGGATGGTGATAGGACAAGAGGGAATGGCTTTAAAGTGAGACAGGGGAGGTTTAGGTTGGGTATTAGGAGGGAGTTTTTGAGCCAGAGGGTGGTGAGGCACTGGCACAGGTTGCCCAAGGAGGCTGTGGATGCCCCATCCCTGCAGGCATTCAAGGCCAGGCTGGATGTGGCTCTGGGCAGCCTGGGCTGCTGGTTGGCGACCTGCACACAGCAGGGCTTGGAGCTGGATGAGCGCTGTGCTCCTCTGCAACCCAGGGCATGGTAGGGATTCTAAGATGGTTTGCAGGAACTCATTCCCCGTATGGAAGTGTGAACAAGCGTTGTTTGTGGTTGGATTAGTAGAAGGTTGCCTTAGAATTCAGAAGAACTTCAGCCTCCTTCTTTCCCTCAGTGTGGTGCCTGGCATCTCTGACCTTTCATTCAGATGCATTTCCACTCTGACAGCTTCATCTTGCTGCAGTTGCTACGTGCAGCACCATGGGCACTGTGTGTTAGAAGGAGGGTGGATGCTCCTTCTAGCTTCTACAATACTAAGTTGTAGAAAGAGTATGGAATAGAAGAGTAGAAATGGCAAAATGCTCACAACAGTGTGAGAAAATCATAGAGTGACAGAATGCCCTGGGTTGCAAAGGAGCTCAATGCTCATCCAGCTCCAAGCCCTGCTGTGTGCAGGTCACCAACCAGCAGCCCAGGCTGCCCAGAGCCACATCCAGCCTGGCCTTGAATGCCTGCAGGGATGGGGCATCCACAGCCTCCTTGGGCAACCTGTGCCAGTGCCTCACCACCCTCTGGGTGAAGAATAAGATCTTAGAAACTGCATTTGAGATGTGAATGTCAGTGCCATAGGAGGCAGTGGAAAGCCCAGCTTTAGGGGAGAGGTATGGCGTTCTTCTGGCTGCCTTCACCTTGTTCTGCTCTGTTTACTGAGGGGTAGCCCCACATGGGGGTGCCTGTGTCTTAGAGATGCTTGCCTTTCAGATTTGTACACGCAGCAGATTTAGACAGTGCAGGTTCTGAAATCTGCTTTCTGCAGCCTAGGTTTAATTCTCCTCCTGGCTTTGGAGCAGAAATTCCCAAACAAACTGAGAAAAACGCAGCTTCTTCATCTGTGTGCTGGCTGAACGAAATTCAGACCAGCCCTGTTCCCTCTCCCTTGGACTTGTCCACTACATGAGCAGTCTGTTACAGCTGGGATGAGATCCCCACAGTCCCTGCGAGCACAGAGCTCTGACTATGTGCATGTTTATAGCAAACAGAACCCACTGGCTTCTTATTTCCTTCTCAGTCCATATATCTCATAAGCTCTGGGGCCAGGATCTATATATTCTCCTCTGTATTTGTATGGGACCTCTTATGCTGCGAAGGCAGTGGAGGTGACTTGGTGCCCTCATGTAAATAGCTGGATTTAATGTATGTTGCTAATGTCAGCTTTCCAAGCGGAAGCAGCTCCTTGCTTGCAGAGCACAGTCCAAACATTGCTTGTTTTTTCAGTGATTATTGAGTGAATTTTGGATGGAGCCCACGAGCTATAGTCACACAGCAGCATTAAGGCAAGGTAACTTCCAGAGGTGCGTGAGGTTGAGATGTGCTTTGCTGCACACTCAATACAGCCATTGATGATCACGTGTCGTTTGTAATCTGGTGAGTTCTGGTGTTGCTCACGAGTGTTTATGGAGTAGCAGTGAGCTGAAAAGAGGCTGAAAGTAGAAAAGAAAGGGGGAATATTTTCCCTCAATGTCATCTTTCCTTCCTTTAAAGGTTTGGCTGTCGAGAGATGGCTGCTGCAGCCTCAAAGTGCCATACAGATATTTGCTGATGCGTTTCAGTTTGTGATCGGAGTCAAAGTGGACTGCTAATGCTGAGGCAATTAATTGGCAGAGAACTGCTTGCTTTCTTATGCAAATAAAAACAGCTGTGTCATTCCATGGATGGGGAGGCGTGAGCCCGTGCTCTTTTGTGGCATTGCTGTAGGAAATCTGGAAAGCCTCGCCTGTGATTCGCACAGTGGGGAGCAGAACTGGGTTATTTTTGGGTACAGCTATTCCTGACTGTCAGTGACTTGTGTTGTAACTGTGAGCACGTCGTTCAATTCTTGTATCTCAGCCTCCCTCAGACAATCACGTTTCAGACTGCTGCAAGCTGAGATGCATCTCCGTCTGCAAGAGATTGCATGGAAATGCCTTTATATAGCGAAGTCCCTCGATGCCTTGGGAGCCACCTCAGCAGTTGGGTTGCAGCTGTGATCTCCTTACCTGCTTGCTGCAGCTGTAATGGACTCTTGTCAAAGCATCTGAAAGTTGTAAAGCTCATCAGATAGCAAAACTATGTCTGCTGCAAGCCTGAGGGAGTGCAACCAGTTTAGGAATAGAATGCAGTTGACTCCATCCCCACCCTGGGTGTGAAGATGGGCTCCCTCCTCCTCCCCCATAAAATCTGAACTTGTTTTGCATCTGAATGCTCTGGCTCCTGCTGACAGGTCCAGCTGATCTTTTCAGTAGAGGTCTCCCTAGTTTTTTTTCCTCAGTGCCAGCCCTGGCACAAATTAAATTGCTCTTCCCATAACAGGAGAATGCGGAACAGGAGAAGCAATGCGCTGCCTGGGAGGGAGCTGAGGTGGACACCCCAGAGGAGGTGGACACCCCAGAGGTTAACTCAATTTCTCACTCCTTCACACAGGTTCAGTGCCATTCGCTGTGCTGATGCAGTCCCCAGGACTCCAGCTGAAGTTGCTCAAGCACGGACGTTGGCACGGTCTGCTTCCCAGACACCGAGTGACACAAGCACTGTCAGCACACCACCACTCAATGGCCACGGTCCTACAGCTGCTAAGCAGAGCTCGCAGCCCCCCAAGGGGATCATGGGGATGTTTGCAGCCAAAGCTGCTTCCAAAGCCCAGGATGCAAATAAAGAACCCAAAGCTAAGGAGGCTCCAAGTGTAAGTGACGTCAGACCCTTTGGGTTAACGGCTTTAATGAACTGCTCTTCTAGCTTTGCTCTTCATGTTGGATGTTAAGAAAAGTTTCTTTGCTGAAGGAGTGGTAAGGTATTGGGATGGGCTGCCCAGGGAGGTGTGGAGTCACTGCCCTTGGAGGTGTTTGAGAAGAGGGTAGATGTGGCACCTGGGGACGTTATCACATCATAGAATCATATCACAGGATGCCCTGGGTTGCAAAGGAGCTCAATGCTCATCCAGCTCCAAGCCCTGCTGTGTGCAGGTCGCCAAGCAGCAGCCCAGGCTGCCCAGAGCCACATCCAGCCTGGCCTTGAATGCCTGCAGGGATGGGGCATCCACAGCCTCCTTGGGCAACCTGTGCCAGTGCCTCACCACCCTCTGGCTCCAAAACTTCCTCCTCACATCCAACCCAAACCTCCCCTGTCTCTCTTTAAAGCCATTCCCCCTTGTCCTGTCACCACCCACCCTCATCAACAGCCATTTCCCCTCCTGTTTATCCACTCCCTTCAAATATTGCAAGGCCACCATGAGGAATGGGCACAGTGAGGATGGGTTGTGTTTGGTGATTTTAGAACTCTTTTCCAACCTTAATGATGCTATGAATTTAGCTAACCTTAACCAGCCACACTGCAGCCTCATCCTCTGCTTCCAGTGCTAAGCTTGCTGCCTGCTGGGCAGCTCAGGTGCTTCTGTAGGTGTTTAACTGTGTCACAGTCACAGAAGATGCCTTCTGTCATCAAGTCCCCTCTGAGGGAAGTATATGTGCCACACTCTTGACCTGCCCACTGAAGTGTATTTGCCATCACTTTGACACTTTGACGTTCCTCTTTGAGCCAGATCTTCAACTAGTGTAAACCAGCATAGCTGCATCATTGAGGCAATTGTTCCATTGTCTTCAGTTATGCCAATATATACACCAGTTGAGGATCTCGTGCTCTCTATTGTGCTTAAAAGGATTTGTTTTGAGCAATATGTGAAATGTGAGAAGCCCAGGTCTTAAAAGTATCAAGGTGTTTAAACTTGGTCTGCGAGGGAAGCTTCAGAGCCTGACCTGTGCAAGACTAGAATGTTTATCTTCCCAGCTGCTGCTTTTTTCCAGCACAGGATTATGTTTTAATTCTAATTAGCACAAGTCTTTTTAAAGCAGTGTGGCCTCCAAGTGGGTATTAAAATGGTAATGTTCTCTGTGCGTGGTTTGGCTTTTTTTTTTTATAACAATGGAGTACATTTTGGTTCATTTTTGTGATTTAGAACTGATGAAACGTGCTTGTCTGAATGTTTAGGAAAGTTTAGAGTCTGGTTGTTTTACGTGAAAATAAATGGGATTAGGAGACCAAGCTCTCCTAGGTGTGTGTGTTTGTGTGTGTGATTTTTCTTTTTGCTAGTGGCTATAGGAATGGAATGGAGCAATGATAGTTCTTTGCAGACTGCTCAGCAGTGCAGCATTTGTGCCAGAGGAGCTGGATAAAGTCTTCATGCTTTGGCCAATCTGTGTTCTTTCCTCTGATGGTTACCATGAATTGAGGCACTGATATTTTGCAAAAAAAAAAAAAAGAACAGTTCTTTACTGGGAACAGACCCAAATCCCAACCACTTCTTTCAGTAACACTGTGAGCCATCAGATGGAATGTGACCTAGGTTAGCTCTGAAGGCCCAGCCTCCAGAGTGCTGAGGGACTCTCAACCTTTTGATCCATTTATTATCTACTCTTCTCAAATTCTCCTACACAGGTGTTGAAATCTGAGATGCTGACCAGGCAGCAAGTTATACGTGTTAATTCTGTTTGTCCAGAAGCAGTGCTGTGCATTTTGAGGGCTGTGTTTCGTGAATAATTCCTGTGGTTACTCCTCTGTTTGCTTCCAGGTGTCTGCAGCGAGCAGTAAGCCATCAGCAAAGGCCAACATCATGAACAACTTCTTTGGAAAAGCTGCCATGAGTAAGTGCTCGATGCCAGGTGTCAGTTGTGGTTAGGTACCAACCCTCTGTAGTCAAAAAATATATAAATGAAAGTCCTGAGGGATATTGGAAATCAATTTATTTTATTTTTTTTAGCTAAGCAGTAATTAGAAGTAATTAGTGATGGCAGGTGTCTGGCTGTGCAGCTGTGTTGGGGAGGTATGAATAGTGAAAAAGGAGCAGAGCTGCTCACCCTCTGTTCACCCCACCCTGGTGACATGAGGCTTGTTGGATGTCCTTGATATCCTTCATTTTTCTTCAGGTTCTCCACATCATGCTTGGAGAAGAGAAGGCTGCAGGGAGACCTCATGGTGGCCGTGCAATATTTGAAGGGAGCAGATAAACAGGAGGGGGAACGGCTGTGTGTGAGGGTGGGTGGTGACAGGACAAGGGGAATGGCTTGAAAGTGAGACAGGGGAGGTTTGGGTTGGATATGAGGAGGAAGTTTTGGAGGCAGAGGGTGGTGAGGCACTGGCACAGGTTGCCCAAGGAGGCTGTGGATGCCCCATCCCTGCAGGCATTCAAGGCCAGGCTGGATGTGGCTCTGGGCAGCCTGGGCTGCTGGTTGGCGACCTGCACACAGCAGGGCTTGGAGCTGGATGAGCATTGAGCTCCTTTGCAACCCAGGCCTTTCTATCATTCTGCTCTTTTGAACTCAGAGGGGTTAATTTTTTTGGCATGCAGCTCTTAAGGCAAAAATTAAAGTTGTAAGTGGAATGTTTCAGACAACAAGCTTGCTGGGTAGAGATCAATTAAGATGACGTATTTGTGCAGACTAACCCAGGAAGGATTTTTAGCTGATTTGAAGTGAGCACTGTTGGCTGAACGATCAGCTATTGGCAGAGTGTTTGCCAAAACCTGTTGCACTGAGCATGTTAATGATGCTCATTTTTCATCACAAATCACTGAGGAGCCTCTAGTTAAGATTTAGGGTTAATTCCTATCCTGCAAACTGCACAGAGCTGCTAATCAGCATAGAAAAATGAGAGATGGTCTTTGCCTTTGAGCTGGGGGTTAGATGGCCTCTGGAGGCTCCTTCCAACTGAAGCTGCCCATGGCTAAAGAAAGCATGCCAAAGCTTTTGATTAGATGTTGGAAAAGCACTACAGAGCGTTCTTCAAAGATGTTCTTCCAATCAAAAATCCCAGGGGATTAGAAGAGGAGTTGCTGGGAAGGAGTAAATGGCAAAGGTTGCTGTCTAGCAAGCAGCTGTTAAAATCTGCAGGGTACAGTCAATGAGCGCAGCTTGCAGTGCTGATGGACATCTTGGAGCTCCTGTTTTGGTGTAGCAGATTGCACACAGTGCTTTCAGCCTGAGACTCCCAAGTCTAAGGGCACTTACTGCAATTAACTTCATTACGTTCTTACGTCTTTGAAGGGCCCTGGACCAAAAGCTCACATTCTGAAAACTCAGGAGATTGAAATTGCGTGGTGAAGATAAGGCAGGATAAATTTGTGGATGTATTTCAGTGACTTCTAGTGGGGGTAGGTCCTCTCCTGAGCCCCCAGCAAACTGGGCAGAACTGGAAATGATTACGTGTATAGAAAAGATAGGGTGATTCCAGAGGTAAGACTTAATCCCCATGTGTCAGTGTGCCTTTTCTGGCTTCAAAGACTTCACCATTGCCAGAAAGCCCTGAGTTAGCAATAGTTGTGTCCTCCAGCCCTGTGCTATCAATGATAAAGAAGATAGCTGTCACTCAGGCTCCTCCTTTGGAGCTTTTTCCCTCATTCAGTCAGCCAGCCAGCCCATCTTCTGAGCACTGTCAGAAAGATGTTGGCGTTCTGAGCCCTCAACAGCCTCTGCTCTTCTTGATCTCATTGTTAGATGCTTTTCCCATCCATTTCCTTGGAGCGGGTTGCCCAAGGAGGCTGTGGATGCCCCATCCCTGCAGGCATTCAAGGCCAGGCTGGATGTGGCTCTGGGCAGCCTGGGCTGCTGGTTGGTGACCCTGCACACAGCAGGGGGTTGGAACTGGGTGAGCATTGAGCTCCTTTGCAACCCAGGCCATTCTATCATTCTGTGATCTCCTGCTAGGGATGGTGCAGGCTTCTAAATGGCCTCTGCATGTGCCTACAGTTATCTGATTAACCTGATAGGTAATGCTGTTAAGTCAGCCTGACTTTTTTACTGCTATCCATTCCCACCTTGCTGGTGCTAGGTTAAGCCTTTTGCAGTAGAATTGCCTGTGTTCGTGGTGCTGCATAGGCCAAAGAGACTGATTCTTGATGAGATTGGAGCTGAGAAAGAGACAAACTGCTACACTGGAGCCCACACTCAGTATTTTTAGTAATGTTACACAGGCTGGAGGCTGCACGCACTTCTCCTTGCTTTTCATCAATCCTGATTTCTCTTTTTCTGGGCTCTTCTTGCTCAATTAAAGCTCCAATTTAAAAGGAGTGAACTGACAGTAAAGATGGATGTGGTGTTTTGTCAGGGGGGATGTGTAGAAGAGGGATGGGCTCCCAATCCTTTGTGGTGTCTTATGGCCCTAATGACCATACCAGCTTCTGCCACTGCCTTCCAGCCTTCTTTGTAGTGTTTATGAACTGCTGCAGCACCTTTGGCTTTGGCACCTTTGGTGCTGTGCCATCAGGAACAGTAGAAGCAAATCAGCTGCAGACCCAAGCATGTCCTTGTATTACTCAGCTTGGTCCATCCAGATCCCTTAAAGCTTTTATGCATCATCTGCAGTGCTGTCTGTATTGCTGGTGCACTGTTTTGCTTAACCCACTCCTTTATGAGTTGTCATAAGTACATTCTTTACTTTTTAAATGCTTTATTCACAGGTAAACTCAAAGTCAACTCAGTGCCTGAGCAGCCAAAGGAGGAAAAAGAAGCTGTCAAGACTTCAGTTCCTGCAGCAGAACCAGAGTCATCCCCTAACACCATGGTAGAGAAACCTGGGAGGAAAACAGAGCCTGCTAAAATTCAACAAAAGGACAAAAAGAGGTGGGCCACACTAGTCAGGTTCACTGTGATCTCTCAACCTGTTTGTTGATGGCCTTACATTGAGCTGGCTGGATGTACAGCGTTGGCATGCCTCCTCTTCCCAGCTACTAAACAGCATTAAACGTGTCTAAATTTCTCTCTCTTAGAATCCTTTCTTAATAGGTCTTTTCCATTTAGTGCTGTGGATGCCTCAGGGCCATCTGTGCCTTTGCAAATGGGAAGGGACACGGTCCAGGTACTGTCCAGTGGGAGGGGATGGCGTTCCATGAGACAGCCTCATGCTGTGAGCAGGCTGAGCACGGACCCCACAGGCAATCTGTGGGGGCTGGCAGGAGCACCTGTGTTGCAGGGAAGGCAGTATATTCCCAAGCTTATATGTACACAGCTCCCAGCACACAAAGTTCTGCTTGTTGATTCCCATAGCAAATGTACTGCTGCTTTCAATGCCGCTGGTTTACTTTGGGCTGAAGCTCCAAGTAAATTTTAAGTTCAACCCTTTGTGTTTAATCCAACCCAAACTGACAGGGACAAAAAATCATTACAGTCTGATGGCTCTCTGGTGGCCTATGAGTAATTAATTGGTGGTCTCAATCTGTTGCTAACTAAATAGGTGAGTGCACCACCCAGCCCACCATGGCAGTTGGTGCTAACTGGTCTTCTTATTGATAGTCCTATTCAGTCCAGGGGCCTGGAAACGGCGTGTTGGCAGCGTGGTGTTGGGAAGGCCACTTGGGCCATACCAGCTCCATGAGGATACGTGGGCCTTTAGCCTCCAGGCTTGTTAGTCTGACGTGTCTCGCCAACATTAAAAAGAAAGAAGCTATTTTATTTTTCCAGTAGTCTTTAAAAATGGCTCCAGGATTCTGAGACACTACCTCATAGTCAGTCAGTGGCGAGCAGTCTGTCAAAAGAGCTTCTGAGCGATGCTGTTGGGGACATGAGTGTTTGGGAGCCTGAGCTATAGAGACAAGATCAGAAATGCCTGCTTGCCAGCTTGCTGTGGCCAAGCTAGGTGAGGCACTGGGCAAAACACTGAGCTGCAGAGGGGCTGAAGAAGTCCTCCTTGTTTTAGAGAACGGAATATGGGTAAGGTTGAGAGGCTTAAAAATGCCCTTGCACCTCTGTCTGATGGTATGGGTGAGTATACTTCATCATGTGATGCTCACATGTTTTTAGGAGGTAGCAGAGGTATTTGATCTCCTTGCTGGCAGCTCTTCTATCAGCAACGTATGCAGTGCATGCAGCGTTCTCATGCGCACACACAAGGGATGGTGTGTTTTCATTCCTTACTTTAATTTTTCTTTGTGGCAGTAAAATGAAGAGGATGGACAAGTCTGACAACGAGGAGGAAAGAGAGCCCGAAAATCAAAAGAAGAAGAGGAAGAGAATCAAACAACTGGAATCTGACAGCAGTGATGAGGAAGGTAAGAGATGCAAAAACAAGCAGCCATGTGGGGCCAGGGGCCTGGCTCCAGCACTGCTCCTATCTAAGGCTGTTGGGTCAACGATTGAGGGGTTGAGAGAGGACTGACAACTGTGCAAATGGCTGCAGTTGGAGCTTTCTGGTTTTCTAATGCTGTGAGCGTTTTGGCGTTCCGTTGGGGTGCCTCAGTCATTCAGTCTTTGTTTTAGCTTAGCTCAGATCTGGCTGTCTCATCACCAAGTGTGCTGCCCGTCATGCTGATGTGTGCAAGGGAGGTTCTGGGAAGATACTGTGCCTTCCAGAACTGCAGGACTGGTCATAACCAGTTTAGTTAGTAAGCAATTGCAAAGTGACCTTCCCTCTCCCGGGGTCATTTTTAGCATCTTTTATTCTGTCTGTTTATAGAAATGGTTTGGAAGACAGCATTGAAAGCAAGATTTCCAAAAAACTAAATAGAGAAGCTGGAGGCAAAACAGCTGAGCCATATCCGATGCGACTCTGCGTCTCCTCGGTGGCTGTTGGCTTTGGTAGGAGTTGGGTGCCCAGAACGTCACAAATTTTGGGCTTATAATGAGGAACAGCAGAGGCAGATTCCAAAGAATTTGGATAATTGAGGTGACAAATGCCGTTCAATATAGATAACTGGAAAATAAGTTGGGGACTGAGCTAGGGAATACGTGCTAAGTGGAACAGTCATCCAACAAACTGATCAGGAAAAGAATTCGGAGATCATTATGGGCAAATAATTGAAACCAACAGTGCAGTGTACAGCTCCAGTAAAAAAAAAAAAAGGTGAAACAGCTCATAGGTTGTGTTAGGAGAGAGCTGGGACTGCAGAACTGGAGCTGTTTGCTTATTTGCTATGGAGAAGCAACCGTAAGATGAAGAGAATCTGTAACACAAGAATGAAGCTGGGTATCTTAGAGGTCTCTGTGCTACCTTAGGCCTGTTTTCATCATTTCTCTTTTACCCAGCATAATTTCAAGTGATCTCTGTCATCAGGCATCCATTGCTTCCACTGAAACTATGCCACAGGATGATAAATCTCTCAGGAAGCCATTCATCATGATCAGCCTTAATTTCATCACATTCCTGTGTGCAGCTCCTTGTTTAGCCCTAAAAAAAAAATACATATATATGTATGCCCACACTCCATGGTATTTATTTCTTTAAATGTTTGTAAGCTCTTATCTGGTCTTTCCATTTGCTCATCACACAGCTTACTGACAAGCTGTGTTGTTGTGCTCTGCAGAGGAAGATTGGAATTGCCACTTGATGTGCTGCTCCGTGCTGGGCTGGAATCTCTCAGCTCACCAATCGTCTGCTAGTGAGAGCAGGCAGAAAGGAATCCTTTGCTTCAGGGATGGATGGAAAGGTTGCTCTTAGGAGCATGGAAAGCTTGTTGTTGGATCTGCTTTTTGCTGTTGTGAGTTAGGGAACCTTGGCCTCACGTGTTCGTGATGGAGTTCTGACACAGCAAGTTTGGGAAGTGACCTCACAGTCTGTTTTCCAAATCTCCTTCTGTTATAACTCTTCAATATTGTGGGGCAGACCCTCATAAATGGAGGATTGCCTTCCCTAGGGCTCTGTGAACTGCTTGCTGCATACCCACTGCTTTTCATAGAATCACAGAATGGCCGGGGTTGGAAGGGACATCAAAGATCATGAAGGTGCAACCCCCAAACTGCAGGCAGGGCCATCAACCTCTGCATTTCATAGCAGCCCAGGCTGCCCAGGGCCCCATCCAACCTGGCCTTGAACACCTCCAGGGATGGACGGGGCATCACAGCCTCTCTGGGCAGCTGTTCCAGCACCTCACCACTCTCTCTCTAAACAACTTCCCCCTGACATCCAACCTCCAGCTGCCCTCCCTCAACTCCAAACCATTTCCCCTTGTCCTGCTGCCATCTCCCCTTTCACAGAGCTGACTCCCCTCCTGTCTGCAGGCTCCCTTGAGGCACTGCAGGCTGCACTGAGGTCACCCTGCAGCTTCTCTTCTCCATGCTCAACAAGCCCAGCTCCCTCAGCCTGTCTTTGTAGGGAGGTGCTGCAGCCCTCTGCTCATCTTGGTGGCTCCTCTGGACCCTCTCCAACAGCTCCCTGTCTTTCTTGTGCTGGGGGCTCCAGCCCTGGACGCAGTGCTGCAGATGGGGCCTCACAAGAGCAGAGCAGAGGGGGACAATCACCTCCCTGTCCCTGCTGGCCACCCCTCTGCTGATGGAGCCCAGGATCCCATTTGCTTTCCGAGCTGCAGGAGCACTGCTGGCTCATGTTGAGCTTTTCATCCACCAGCACCCCCAGGTCCTTCTCTGCAGGGCTGCTCTCAAGCACTGCTCCTTCCAGTCTGTATAAATAAATGCCTGGGATTCCTCCGGCCCAAATGCCAAACCTGGCACTTTGCTGTGTTGAACCTCATTAGATTTTCCCAGGCCCACCTTTTGAGTCTGTAGAGTCATTTGAGTTGGAAGGGACCTCTAAAGGTCAGGTTGAGAACCCAGTTAACTTACTGACCTTGCTCTCTGTAGCTTTAGTCCTTAAAAGAAAGGTTACCTACCCACTACTGATTGGGGAGGATTGGTTTATGTTTTTCTCATATCTAACCTGCTGGAGATGGATGCAGGAAATTGGATTTTCTTGTCACTGCTGATGCTCTTCCTGCATCATAGTCCTCTGTTCTTTCCATCATGTAGAGAAACAGATTTGCATTACGTGTTGTAAACTTCTGCAGATGACAGTTAGTGTGTACAAATCTATATATTCTACAGATCAGCTTTGTACTGTTCCCTTTTTCAAAAGGGAAAGATTGGAAATCAGAGAGCTCCTGTCTTCTCCCTTTTTTATAGAGTCATAAAATCGTTTGAGTTGGAAGGGAACCCCTAAAGGCCATCAGGTCCCACTCCCTGCAGTGCACAGGGACACCCACAGCTCCATCAGTGCTCTCAGCCCCATCCCCTGACCTTGGGCATCTACACCTCCCTGGGCAACCTGTGCAGTGCCTCACTGCTCTTATTTTCCTCAAATCCAGTCTAAATCTCCCCTGTTTTTGTTTGAAAGCATTTCTTTGAAATAGATGGAAACCAAAGGGATGTAAAAATGAAAGCTAGGTAAAACTTTATTTTTTGAGTCATAGAATCGTGGAATGACTTGGCTTGGAAGGGACCTCAGGGTCATGAAGCTCCAGCCCTCCCTGCTTCAACCTCCACGTTTCATAGCAGCCCAGGCTGCCCAGGGCCCCATCCAACCTGGCCTTGAACACCTCCAGGGATGGGACAGTGTAAATGAATGTGCAGCAGCCAGATTTATAGTGTATTTACCCTTGGAAAGGTTGGAAATGGGTTTCTACAGAGACCAGGGGCAGTTTTTATCAGCATCATCAGTGAGTAGAATGGGATCTGGAGTGACAACGTTCTGTGCCACATCCCCATGGGAGCAGGGGAGAGGTGCCATATGCTGCACAGCAGTTGGGAACTGCTGCCAGGCTGGCACAGCTCAGCCACCACCTGCATAATTCACCCACAGATGATCAAGGGGTGAGTTTTAAATGGGTGAGATGGGAAGCCAAACCACCAGAGGAGCTATCAGAGGCTCCTGGCTCAGCTTCCACTGTTTCCACTAATGAGCCAAACCATTTCCATTGGGTTGGAGCACCTCTCTATGGAGACAGGCTGAGGGAGCTGGGGTTGTTCAGCCTGGAGAAGGGGGAGGGCTGTGGGGAGACCTCGCTTTAGCCTTCCAGAGCCTGAAGGGAGCTGATAGATGGGAGGGAGAGAGACTTTTTACACAGGCAGATGGAGATAGGGCAAGGAGAAACGACTGTAATTTAAAAGAAGGGGATTTAGGTCAGATGTGAGGAGGAAATTCTGCACTCAGAGTGCAGAGAGGCCCTGGCACTGCTGCCCAGGGAGGCTGGAGGTGCCCGAGGCTGTGGGTTGGGGCCCTGGGCAGCCTGAGCTGGTGGGGGACACACAGCCTACAACAGGGATTGGGGATAGGAAGGCTTTGAGGTCTCTTCCAAACCAACCATTCTATGATGCTATGATTTCAAGGGTAGTGGGGAGCCCAAAATAAGCTCTTCTTCTACAAGTGTCAGCACGTTGTAGCAAGCTGAAAATACAGAGAGGGCCACGAGGCACAATCATCTCCATTTAAAATAATTTTTCATTAAAAGTTACATTGGTTTGAGGGTGCCTTAGTCACTGCAGGTTGTTTTGCTTCCAGTGCCAGAATAAACTACACAAGTGTGTCCACAGAGGACAGGAGGTTTGGCAGCTCCAGCTATACCAACACCAGCGCAGTTTCATAGTGTTGACAAGTGTTTTACAGCCACTTTGGAGGGTGATTTCAGTGGCACTGTAACCTACAAACTCTATCAGTTTCAGAGAGCTGCAGCAAAAGCATTAAAGCTTCTCACAGTTTTTCCAGGCAGGGTCAGTGCAAACCAAACAAAGCCAGGATTTACATCTTTTGGTACATCCAGTTGCCCAACGTGTATCCATTTCACGCAGCTGTTGCTGGTGAGTAAACTGTGGGCAGCAGCAAGAGGTTGACTCAGGAGTTATCACATGTCAGAGGGCTTTGCTGGCTGCGAGAGGATAACAAAGCAACAGAGCCACAGCTCGATGGTGGTCTGAAGCACTGCCGTGGGAAGGAGGTGCTTTCTGCCTGCCAAAGCCTGGGGTAAGTCATTCAGAGGAGGCTGGGGAATCACCCAAATTTCCCCCAAGCAAAAGCAGTTGGGGTTAACCCCCCAAAGACCCCTCGGGCAGAGGTTGACAGCTTTTCACAGGCTGCCTTTTCAGCCCTCCTAGCATCCACACTCCTTACAAATATTTTGCAGTGGATGCAGCCAGCTCGGGTAGCCTGCAGAGTTCGGTGCTGTGCAACCTGTGGGCTTTTCAGCCTGCAGCTGCCGTGAGGCTGGGAGGAATATTGAGGATTTTGAGTCCTTGCTGCGGTCCCCCAGCAGTGAGCACCTCCAAGCAGGTCCCTTGTTTGGTTTTACCTTAGCACAGCTGCCAGACCCGGTGCTTTGGAGCAAGGTGAAATCCCGAGTCATGTTATCCCACTCTGTTTGCATTTCTGTGCCTCGCTCCCTGCAGTAGTTAGGAGGCTGAGTCCTCGTTTGAAGAATGTAATTTATTATTGAGCGTTGGCAGCCAACCACCGTTTCGCTTGAGCCCTTCTTAACCTATGAAGGTCAGCTGGCCGCACGCCTGGCACAGTCGTAACTCTTCACACTGACCTAATCACTTGGGACAGCTACGGATCCAAAATTCGTGTTACGACGACAGCGTGAAGGCAGCACTGCAGCCAGCAGGGCTGGGAGGAGAAGCCAAGCAGCGCTCTGTCCTCGCAGCCAGCCGCAGCCTTGTTATTGTTAAGCAATAGGTCAGATGAGGAGTTTCTTCCCCCACATTCCTTGCTCTCCCCCGCAGTTGAGGGCTTGCATGGCAGTATTTCGTAGGTGGACTTGGAGAGGATTCGTTGAAGTCATTTCAATTAGTCACAGTGCTGCCCCTGTCGTCCCCCCCTGTCCTTGCCTTGATTTTGCTAAGCTGTCGCAGCTCTGTGCTTCTGCCAGCCCCATAGAAGTGACCTCGACCTTCTTGTACCTATGCATGCCCTGCTGGTCTCGCCCCTGTCTCATGTTGGTGAGACCCTCCAGTGTTGGTTTTGCACCATACAAAGCTGGGGAGGTGGCCATGACCATGTGGGGCAGTGCAAACCTTGGAGGGATTCCAGCATCTCAGTCACTGCATCCATCTGCTGCACAAAGATGAATGCAGTGACAGATGGGAGAATGGACCTCGCTTTTTGGAATGGCTTGGATTTTGTTTTTGTTTTTTTTTTCCCTGTGGTGTTCCTTCAAATCTTGTGGGGTGGGCAGTATCATGTTTAATTGTTGCATGAATTGAATTAAAGGGGGGGTTTAAAATGAGACAGGGGAGGTTTAGGTTGGATCTGAGGAGGAAGTTTTGGAGCCAGAGGGTGGTGAGGCACTGGCACAGGTTGCCCAAGGAGGCTGTGGATGCCCCATCCCTGCAGGCATTCAAGGCCAGGCTGGATGTGGCTCTGGGCAGCCTGGGCTGCTGGTTGGCGACCTGCACACAGCAGGGCTTGGAGCTGGATGAGCATTGAGCTCCTTTGCAACCCAGGCCATTCTGTGATTCTATGAAGGCAATTTCAAGCTAATAGGGTTGATCATTTGGGATTTGAAATGCCATTTCTGAAGCAATTACTCTTTTGCCACTCAGGGAGAGGCAGAGAAACAGAGGTCATGCAGTGATTTGAGAATACGTAGACTTAGCCCTGACTCTTTCAATTCCTGTACAGGTTGCAGTCCCTTTTCTTTCTGAACAGGTGAAATACATGCCTGAAACATTCTGCTTTCAGTGTTGGTTTTCCAAGCTTTGCTCAGTGAGGCTGAGCCTGGTTTTCCAAAAATACCAAACGTGCTTCTCCCATCCTGTCCCATCCTTGACCATGCTTTCTTCAGGAGCCCCAGCGCGTGGCACCTTGGTGCAGGGTGAGCAGTCGGGTTAGAGATGGCTTCTTGGAACGTGTTGTCTTCAGATCTGAGTTAGAAGTTGTAAATCTCAAGTTAAATTCAAGTTGTAAGCAATTACTCGGAGTTAAATTAGGTGGCATGACATGAGACAGTGGTAGAGGCAAGGGGACATTGCACCTGATTGCTGCTAAGGTGTTTGTGTATTCTTCTTGGCAGGTGTCCCAGCATCTCCCACACTCCAGGAAGAGAAAGCTCCATCTCCACCACCTCTGGTACCTGCTCTGAAGGCTGAGCTGGAGCCAGCATCCGCTGAGGTGAGCTCACATCATGGTGATGAACTTCTGCTTTCATTTGACACGATGGGGATTGCTCAGCCACTTTCCAATGCCAAGGGGATGGTCCTGTTCATCTGCCACGTCCATCACATGATCCACCTTGAAAGAATCCATCGTGTTCACTGCTCCATTCATTATCCAGAGCACAACTTTACTTAAACTCTGCTTTTTTTCTGCTGATATAGCACAGTTCTCTTCCCTTTTATCCTCCTAATGGCTCTATGAATTGTTGCTCGCGTTTTACACTCTCCCCTCTGAATCTTGGCCTCTGGAGTCGAGGCAGGGCCAGAATGAAACTAGAGAACCTCAGTGTTCAACTTTGTATCGCTGCTGCGTAAGAGAGGTGGGCTCTAGTTGGCACAAAGTCAACCCCTGAGCTGAAAAAGCACATGTAGCTTTACTGAAAGCACAGCTGTTCGTCACAGCATGCATCCTGGTGTCATGCACACCTTGTTATTTCCTCGTTCTTCAGAGGTATAATGAAACAACCCCACACAGAGCTAAACACGTTTCAGAATGTCGTGTGCCCTGCAAGAGGAATCAGCCCCTTGTGCTGGCAGACAGAAGAAGCTGCTGTCTCATTTCAGTTGTTTGGTTTCTCTCAAATTCATCCTGGTGGGACGGGGAGAACAGTGGCATTAGCAAGACTTAAACTGGCCTGTCCTGAGGAGGGAAGGGAATTCACAAAACGTTCTCTATCAGTTTGGTTAGAGAGACTCCTGGGGTGGATGCTTTCGTGCCCTGAGGCCATGCACAGGGCTTTAACTCTTGATGCCTCACTATCTTGTGATGTCCTTCAGGCTTCAACTGGGGGAAAGAAGAGGAAACGGAAGCGTGTGCTGAAATCCAAAATGTTTGTTGATGAAGAGGAAGGCTGCATGGGTAAGAGTGGCTGTCTCCCACACTTCTACGGGTCCAACTTTTACTGCACTTGTACTGAAGATTTTTATGGGTCAGCCTCTTGTGGGCTTAAGAAGAGGTTCATAATATCACAGCATCGCTTTGTCTTTCTGCTTTCCACCTCGTGCTCCCAGGTTGAGGTAGCTGCCCTTTCTGTGAAGGCCTGGGTGGAGGTTTCAGAGTTGTTGTTGAAAGCCAGAAGCTTCACATTGATCTACACTGCTTCCTCCTGTGACCTGGAGAAAGTTGTGTAACACCACTGTGCTCCTTTCCTTCTCTGTATCCTGGCACTGAAGCAGAGCTGCAGGAGTTCAGAATCCTTTTTCTCCTTCAAGGTTTTAAAACTTGAAGAGGGCAAAATGTGGTGGTTTTCTTTTTTTCTTTTGTAGTGATGTTGTCAGCTAAATCATATGATGTGCCTGGCATTCTTCATCTTAATAGATGTCAAGGGAGCTCAGGCAATTCTAGAAGACCTATGGCTGTTGCACAGGTTTGTTTTTGTGCACAGATACAGCCTTGCTTGGCCCAGCTTTAGAGCTGCATGCACACAAGTCAACCTGTGTGTTTGCAACTATCTGTATGGTTGTGTCTTATGTTTCCTATTGGATTTGTGCATCTCCTTTAAAGAAACAAGGCTGGCACTCAGCAACTATCTGTGCTGGTAACTGAAATCTCAAGCCCTGGATTTTTGTCAAGGTGTTGGACTTGCACAGGTGTTGCTGACTGATTTGGCTTGTTGTGTTATGGGGTGTTTTTTGTGCTCCCATCCCAAATAGAATCATTAAAATGCCTGGGAGGAAAATGGATCAAAAAAGCATGAGCAGGGGACTCAAGTTCAAGAAATCTGCATTCAGAGCTCGCACTAATGAGGGCTCTGGGTTCAGCTTCCAGCAAAGAGTGCTGCTTTCTCTTCAGCCTTTTCCAAATGTACCAGGGTTGGGAAGTCTGCCCACTTTCCCTTCTCCCCATTCCCAAGAGGTTTTGTAGTCTCCTGTGAAACTCAGACTTGGGGATTTATGGTTCCTATCCACTGCCATTGTGTATGGAAAGGGAAATGGAGGCCGCTGTTGTGGCTTTGGGAGGCAGTGCACCTGGGAAAGCAGGAGGGATCAAGCCAGGATACTGAGAGTGGGGAGGAAGGAGGTGCTTTTCTCCACACTGAGAGCCAACCAGTTCATTGCACAGGACTTGCAGTCTGATTATGGTCCAGCTTACCCCACTCCTCACCCACCTTTTCCTTGCACAAAACTAACCCTCTGAGGGCTAAATAACCTGCTGATCTCCCAGGCTGATGTAAGTTGTTGGTATTCTTTGAAAGACAGCTTTTCTTTTTCCCTCCTTGATGTCCACAAGGACAGTGGTGCAGAGACATTAAATCCCAATGTTGGAGTTAGGCTGTCCTTTCTATTTCTCCACGCTTTGAAGTGGCCATTTTCACAATAGCAAGGAATTGGTGTCAAAAAGCAAAACTAATGTAGGGATTAGTGCCGAGGGAAATTGAGCAAGTCTCTGTGGAGCTGGGCTTAAGGCATGTTACCGTGCATCAACAGGGACGCAGCCAAGTGCATGCTGTAGCAAAGGGGAATTGCTGAGGTTTAAGCTTATGCACCTCTACCTCACGCTTTCTAAAGCTTGAAGGACACGCGTGGATTTCAGTATTGGAATAAATGTGTCTCCACTGTAAGCAAATTGATTGTATGGCACTGGTTTAAGTTAGAACTTGCACGCATAACTGGATACTTGCACTCCATAACTGGAGTTAGGGTGATGCAGCACATCTGGCTGAGCTGAGCATCAACAATCCATTGGCATGGCCTGCCACGAGCATGGAATTCTTACATCCATTTGCAATCTCACTAGAAGAACCAACGCAAACTGTTATTTCGTAATTGGAGGGGATTAAGCACGTGCTTTGTTACCAACAATTACCGACAGGGTGACAGTGCTGTAAGTCTTTCAAGCTCAGGAACTGGCCAGCAATCTGCTAACGCTGCTCCCTCAGAGGTCAGTTCCCTCTGCAGGAAGTCAGCATGGATTTATGGTCCCTGTCTGAGCATCTGCTCTCTGCAGAGCAGGATTTCATACCGTTCCTCTTCGCAGGGCGGTTACGTAGAAATCCTGGTGTGGTTTGATGCATTAACACAACAGGGAGCTAATTTCCCAGAAGAATAGTAGTTAGGACGTGTGTTTAAAAGAAGACAGTTGCTAAAAAGAAATAGTTTACTAGAAGAATACCAGAGCACTGCTGGGAAGGCTGATAGAACAACGTTTACTAATGATGGCTTTGGTCGGTGCAATGGACTCGGTTTCATTTCAGTGAGTGCTGCTTTATATCCCTTAGCTTTCCATCGTGGGATGCTGACTGTAACAAGCCAGCAATCCCATTCAGTAACAGTCCTTGATTTTGGTGATAGGTTCAGTTTTGTGATCTTTTTAAGGCATTTCTTTATTTTTTTTTGCCCTGTTTGCCCTCCTGCGTTGAGGAAGCTGCCAATGGAGTTCTGTGCCCCTCTTCTCAGTGTGTTGGCTTTGCTTTTTTTGGCCATCTGATGCACACCAGTGGCCCTTGAATCTTGAAGATTCAGGGTGATGCTTGAATAATTTGGAACAGGAGCTGTCTTCCCAGGAGCCCTTCCCAGTGGGAGGCTGCTGGTGTTTAAGGTGTGCATATGGCCTGCAAGGGAACATCCCTGGGGATGTCAGCTCATTTTGAAAGAGCTGGACGGTGTTCAAGCTCCCAGCTCATCCATCTACTGTCTGCTGCTTAGGAAAGAAGGAGGTCAGTTTGACTCTGTGGAGGCAGTTTAACCCAGTGTATACAAAACCAGCCTGGTCATCTGAATGTACCGTATAACCTTGAGGGTTGGACTTAATTCCCATTGGAATGCTTGAACCACAATGCTCGTTTCCAGAAGTGCAGTGGGAAGGCTGCAGGGGGGATGTTGCTGCTCTTCAACACGCATGCTTAACCAGCACCATCTGTTCTTCTCTCTTAACTAGTGACTGAGAAGGTTTACGAGAGTGAATCCTGTACGGACAGCGAGGATGACTTCGCCAAGACCAAGCCACCAGCTGCCCCCAAGCAACCTGCACTGCCTGTGAAGAAGGAACCAAAGGAAGAGAGGAAGAACCAGAAGAAAGGGGCAGCCACAGCCAGCAGGGCCAACAAACAGGTCTCCATCATGGGCTTCTTTCAGAAGAAATGAACTGACTCTTTCCCCCGCTCCCTTTGGCAGCTTGAGTGTGTTGTTCTCTTTGCGTGGCTCTCTGAAAGCTGCTGCACAGGAGGAGGACAACATGCAATCTTCCATTACGTAAGATATCTTGCTTACTGTGTAAGTAAGCCCTTTGGACTACATTTTGTATTGGGAAGAAGTTTTATCTGTTCCTGCAATAACTTCAGTCTTCGCTTTTAAGCTGTGTGAAAATCACCACCTGGATGCGACATCTGGACTGAACTCTTGAAAGACTGTTCATCTATTTACATGACATTTTATTTTCTTTTTTTTTTAAGATGGCCTTTTAGCAGCTTGGTGTTAAAGGCCCATTCCACAAGTGGTAGAATGGACTCCACTGGGAGTCAAGTTCTGGCATCATCTTTTTCTTTTTTCTCTTTTGTTTTCCCCTTTCCCCCCCCTGTTTTTACACTCTCAGCTCTCCACACTGATCCAAACGTTCACGTTGGTGAGAAGCTGCAATGTAGCAGGTCTTCAGGCACACACACGGATATTGAACATCTGCTTCAGCTTGAACTGAATGAAACAAACTTAATTTTCCCCGTGAGGCTGGTAAATAGTTTTTGCTCTGCCTTTCGTAACCTTCTTTTGGACAAAGCGGCGCATATAAAATTCTCTTACCCTTTTCTTCCTTGAGCATATCCTCTGTAAATTGCTCAGAAGCCTAATTATAGAGCCGGGCACTGGTGGTGCTCTGTCTCTGCAAAAACATCTTGAAGGCTTCCCACACAATTGGCTCTGGTGGAACTGGGGGAAGGCTGTGCTCTTATTGGGAAAGCAGCGGTATCTGTAACCTTGAAAGTTAACGAGTCAAAGGGGGGAGAAGGGTGTTCAGAGGGCTCTCCTGGTAGACCAAGGTCAGGTGTCCTTGTCTGTGAGGAGCTGCACGCAGCTTTGTGTTTTTGTTGGGCCTGCTTTGCTGCTGAAGTGTTTTACAGGCACAAACCAGACACCATCGAGTTGTTTTCTAGGACATCTCGTCAGCTGCCTCTGGAGGAAGTGTTGCAGCAAATGGTTCTGAGAAACCAGTTATTGGAGGTGAAGAAAGCACTGCAGACCCGTTGATTAGAAATAACTCCTCCATTTGGATGCCTTCTGTCATTTGGTGCTAAGATTTATATCGTAAAAGACATTTTCCAGAGGATGGGTGCTCAGCATTTCTGGAATTTGGCTGGTGAGGTCTCAGGTGGGCGACTGATGTGGTCAGCAGTTGTTTCTGGGTGTTGTTAGGCTGGTGTTTATATTGCTGTGTACTTACATAGTGGTATACGGAGGTGTTTGAGGTGGCACAGAGGTCTGAAGAGTGTAAACCAAAGGGGAGATGTCTTTAGGCAGACAGCTGGAAGTATTCTGAGCTCTGGATAGCAAGAGGACCAACTCATCAATTATAATGGCAATCATTCTGGCTGAGTGATCAAGCTGGTGGCTCACAAAATGGGAATGCACACCTAATAGTTACACTTGGATCAGCCCAAGCAGCTTGAACCCTCAGCAGATGGGAGAGGATCTCCTTAAACAGCCCTTGTGCCCATGGCTGATCCTGGCTGGATGGGTTTGGCTGCTTAATGGATGGATCACTACAAGTGGAGGATTGAGGGTAACCTCACGCTCCAGCATCCTCATCATGCAGCTCTGGACTCTCCGAACTGGAAGCTTACAGGAAAAATAAGGGTAAGAGGCAGGAAGGCAGGCAGAACTGGCACCAGCACCCAACCAGAGCCAACTGCACAGCTGGAGGAGGTGGGATGCTTTCAAGGTTTGTTTTAGGGATGTGTGCAGCAGAGATCCATGGGGAGAAGTCATGAAGGACCTCATTTGGGATGGAGGCCACCACTTAGTGTGTTGCTTTTCTTGGTGGAGTCAGGGGTATATTTTGAAAAGTAATAAGTCACACAACGTTAAGTACAGATTTTTCTTGTATTTTTTTTATTCATTAAAAGATGTGCTCCATCCTGATTTTTTCAGAGGTTGCTTGACCACACAGAGGAGCCTACATGCAGTAGGTGAAGAGTTCTTCCATCCGATAAACTCATCACTGTAGGTCACCCAGGTGGAAAACACCTCAAGCTGCTGAGGTCTGCATTGAACTCAGACCCCTGGGCTCTCTCCTCAGGTCTTATTTCCATGACCAATGCTGCAGGGATGTGGTGTGCTCGCACCTCACCTGCTCTGCACCAGAACAGTGGTCCTCTCGCTGGAGCTCGCTGCTCCACCCCAACCCCATATAACCAGCTCAACGTCATACACCACTTCCTCAGGAAAATGACTTAACGTCTGCAGCAGGACATAGGCGAACTTCAGGCTTCCAAAATCATGATCTCATGTTCCCCCTCCTGTGCACTGCACAGCTCTGCCAGCCCCCGGGGGCCTCGGGTCCCTGCATGCCCCTTGGGTGAGGCTGGAGCGTTCCTGCATGCTGCATGGAGTGCAGGAGCAAGCAAGGGGAGTGGGTTAAAGGTTAAAGGAAGATTCTCTCTCTGTGGATGCGGGGATCCGGCTGTAGGAGACCTGCCTTTTGACACAGCCCCCGGTCCCTTCCCTCCTGGATAGGTTTTAATCTCATGAGATTAATTTTTACATCTCTGTCTCCACCTCTGTGGGCTGCTGTACCCTGCAATGGAGGTGCAAGGGGAGAAGAGGGGAAATCTGCATCTGCCTTCCAACCGTTTCTGCACCCTCAGGAGGACAGAGCCTTTAACAGGCACGGGGAGGTGTTGGTTGATGTCATCTGCTAAGCAGCACATTTCTAATGGCTTTCTGTTGGATGTTAAGGCAGAGGGAGCTTCTTCCTTGTTTTACTGGTGGGGAAAGAAGTTGGAGAAGTTGCACCATCCAATGTCAGGCATAAAACCATTGGTACCCCAAGCTCCTCTTGGCCAAGGTGGTGTTGAACCAGCAGCTGCACGTGCCCTGCCTCAAAACACTGCTGCTGAGGATGAGAATTCCTTATCCTGTTTGCAAAAGGAGCTAGGATGCCGATTTAAAGCTTCCCGTGCTGCAAGGAGGCAGAGCCTACTTGGAAAACCTGGCTGCCCTTTATCTGGTTAAACACTGCATGCTGCTGGGATAATGGGAGCCGAGGGCACAGCCCACAACCATCAGGGCGAAGGCGAGCAGCGCTGCACCGCCGACTTGTTTTGTTCTCCCAGCACAGCCGCAGCTCCAGAGCAGGGAACACAGGGCCTTAAAAGGAAACAAAACTCTGCCTGGAGGAGCTGAGCAGTGGTGGAGGGGAGAGCAGGCGTGTGCCAGCGCCGGGCCATGCGTCAGCACCTTGCCTGGGGAAGGTCCCTTGCTGCTGGACCATGCAGTGCTGCTAGCTTTCCCCTTCTTTCTGCTTTTCAAGCTGAAGGGATAAGGACCTGAGGACACCTGCATCCTTCATACTACGCTTTAAGCACTCAGAGCATCCTTCCTGGCTCCCACGGAGGCTTTGCAGCACGTCATCCTGCAGAGTCCTACCTGCTGTGATGGATGCCAACACCTGTCTCCTCTCTTTGGTTGTTTTAAGGATTGTTGTGGGAGGTTCTGTTGGTGTGCGTGCCATCTAGCTGCCAGGTCCATCCATCCCCCATGGCAGGGAGATGCTCTGGGGGCTCTGAACCAGAGAAATGCTTTGGATTGGGATCATGGAATGATGGAATCCGGACATTAAGACTCAGTGGTCTTTGGTAACTTCCAAACTGCTCCTTTGCCAACAGCATCCCAGAGAGAGTGGGGAAGTCTCAAACCCGAAACTGATCCACGTGAGACCAGAGCCACAGTTCTAATTCTGGAGCTGGATGTCACATCAAAGCAGGCCCTGTTTTGGGGCATCTCTAGGGCAAGGGAATCTTGACTGTCCCCCAGTGCTGGTGCTGAGCGCCCAGGGTCCCTCAGGGTTGAGTATCCTCCCACAGTGCTGAGCCTGTTTCCTTGATGCAGAGCTTCCCTTTGGGTTCAGAGCATTAGCCCTGCAACCCGCAAGGCTGAACATCCCAGCTTGACACTGGGCATCCCCTTGGGTGCTGAGCATTTCCCAGTCTCGATGCTGAGCACTCCCTTCTTGGGTTCTGATCATCCCACTGCAATGCTGAGCACCCTGCGTAAGGGCTGAGCATCCCTAGCCGCAGTGCTCAGCGCCTTGCTTGGACACTGAGCATCTCACCTTGATTCTGAACTTCCTTTGGGATAGAGTATCTCCTTGGGTGCTGAGCATCCCCTAGCCGCAGTGCTCAGCGCCTTGCTTGGATGTTGACCATCTCACCCTGATGCTGAGCATCCCACCTGATGGTGACCATCCCACCTTGAGTCTGAGCATCCTCTCTTGAGGCCAAGCACCACTTAGGTGATGAGCATCTCCAGCCCTAGTGCTCAGCACCTTGTCTGGATGCTGAGCATCCCATCTTGATTCTGAATTTCTTCCCTTGGGATAAAACACTCACTTAGGTGCTGAGCTCTTGGATCTCAGCATCCCCTTGGGTGCTGAGCATCCCCCAGCCCCACCTTGCTTGGGTGTTGACCATCCCACCTTGTTGTTGAGCGCCTTCCCTTGGGGCTGAGCATCCACCTTGATACTGAGCATCCCACCTGATGGTGACCATCCCACCTTGAACCTGAGCATCCTCTCTTGGGTCTCAGCATCCCCCAGCCTCAGTGCTCAGCACCTTGCTTGGACGTTGACCATCCCACCGTGATGCTGAGCATCTTCCCTGGGGACAGAGCACCCACTTAGTGCCGAGCATCCTTCCTGAGAGCTGAGCATCCCAATCAGTGCTGAGCACCCTGCTGGCACTGAACCCTGCAGCCCTTTGGTGGAGGTGACAGCGGCCGCATCCACGGCACCCGGTGGCCCGCGATGTCCCATCTCCGAGAGCTGTCCTGACACTTGTTTACTCCCGACATCCCGCTGCACAGCTTCACCCCAGCTCTTCCTGGGCTGGTGGCTGAAAAGTGGCTATTTTTAACCTGTTAAAAATAGAAAGTCTCAGAGCACGGCGGCTCCTGTTTTTCCATTCCCTCCTCATTTTGTCGCACAGCGAAGGAGCCGGGCTGCGCCGGGGGCGCTGGGAACCTGTAAACAGGCACCAGCAAAACGGGGAGGAGGGGGGAAAAAAAGAGAAAAAACCTCAATAAAGCGGCCGTCCACCTTTTGCACGGAGCCTTATTTGGTATTTTCATGAAAAGTTATATCTTTGCACTGTAAAAAGTGCCACTTATTACTCATGCTTTACTAGGTAAGCGTATTTTCCTTGGCAGCGAGTGCGTTTGGGGTGGGTTTTCTTTTTTTTTTTCTTCTCTGCTCCCGTACAAACCATTTCGAAGGGCTCATTAGTCTCTCTCCATCAGAACTGGCACTTTCTGCTGCTGTCTGGAGGACCGGCTCTATTAAACCCAAGACAGAACCTCTGTTTGTTCGACAAATGTGAGCCCTGACTGCACGGGGCCGTAAAAATGCGGTGTCCCCATACGGCGAACACAGGGCTGCCTTTCAGCGTGGCCCCATTAAAGTGCCACTCAGACGTGGCCCAAAGTCTGCCTTGTTCCCCGCTTGGTCATTGGCATTGGGTGAAAAATTACATTTTTCCCCTTTTGCTTCTTAATTTTGAGGAGAAAATGAGGATTGGCCCGACGCGCCTGGGTGGAGCG